GACGGGAACGAGGAAAACAAGGGAGGAGAAAGAAGTGTCCACCAACCCCCGCTTGCCAGGAACAGGCGTGTCAGACATTTGGCTGTCCTCCTTCCCCCTGTCCCCTCCCCCCAGAATCCAAAGTCTAATGGGGGACGAGCTCGCCAACGCACCCCATGGGCCTCTGGAGCCTCCGACAAGCCCTACGGCTGCCCAAGAGAGGCCAAACAGAGTACCGAATCAGTCCCAGAGAGTGTCGAGACGGCCTGAGGTAACCCCACGACGGTCAAAGATGGCTTCGGCACGGCCCACGAGGCATCCAAGAAGACCTCCACGTTTCAAGGGCCGCCGAGGAAGGCAACTAAATAATTAGCAAAAATATGTCCAGCCCCACAGGGAAACGTACACGTTTGGCCCATTTGCCTTCTCCATCTTGACACAAGCAAGACTGCCCAACAGGCCCCCAAAAATCGCCCAAAGACGGCCCATGAGGCCCCCAGGAAGGCCCCAACGCGGCCCAAGACGGCCTGGAGACGGCCAAGCCGCCCAAGATCAACCTAAGAGACACCGGAAAAACCCAAGAGGGGCCAAAACTGGGAAGACAAACTCACACTCGAGCCTTCTTGACCCCAGGATGACCCCAAGGGCCCCCCCCCCCGAAGCCGAGGCGCCCCCAAGAGGCCCGCAGAAGGGCGACTATCTGTCTCGACGCTCACGCGTGCTATCTTCTGCCTATTGTTGTTTGCTTCGTCTCTGCGTTTCGCAACTGGTTTGATGTGTTATGCTGTTGCTTCGTCGTGTTGTGCAGTGTGTGTTCGCTCTATTGCCTTCATTTGCTTTGTTTGTTGTATTGGTTTTGCCTACAAAAAACCATTGCAAAGCAGTGCACAAGAGTTCCATGTATAATCCACCAACTGAATCAATGTGTGATCTGCCTACGACAGAATCCGAATGTATAGCCGCACCACAAGAGTTCGATGTGTCACATACACACATACACTAAGAGTCACCTTGAAAATAGCCGATAGCCTGTAAAAGGAAGTCTGCTGCAACACCGCACAGAAAGATTCGATGTGTAACCCGTAAAGCAAGAATCAACCTACAAATCGCTTACACAAACATCCCCTTTGAAAGGGAGCCAGAAAAGTTCGGGAGCATCTACAATCGGATCCTTTGTGTGAGCGAACTATGAGTTCATTACTATTGTACAATGTGCATCTAAAATCCAGCTGAGCGACTTCATTCAGAAATTGTTCAATGAAAATGTCAACGTAGTTTTAACGCGAGCAATACAAACAAACTAGTGATGTGTGATGCGCCTTGTTTTTGTTGTTGCGGGTGGTGAACAAACCGACTACCATCTCCATGGCTAGCCGAGAACAACACGTAGATTGAATAAGCAGCAGAATATCATGGAATATCAATATAGACGTATATTCATATATATATATATATATATATGTATATATCTCTATGGGCCGACGGGTCAATAGATGGGAGGATGGATTGGCATATAGATGAGCGATCGGGCGGGGGCGAATATATACATGTATATACATATAGATTAGAACCATCACGCGCGCTTCGCGCGAGCTCAGGTTCTAGCCCAGGCCAGGGGGGCGCTGGACGATCTTGGACCACGCTATCAAGCACAGGCGGGCGACGGCATCTGAGGAGCTTCTGGGGTGTTCCGCATGCTTCGTCAACTGGCTGTTGGAGGCACCTCTTGGGTGCTTCTTGGGGGGGGTCTGAGGGTCCCTTGGGGGCATCGGTTCTGCAATCTGAAGCCATCATAGGCCGTCTTGGCTGCGTGGAGGCCCGACTTGAGGCCACCTGCGGCCAGATTGAGGCAATCCGGGAGCCTCCCGGGGCCTCCTGGAAGCAGTTTTGACGCATCGAGGGCACTCTTGGGCTATTTTAAAGCCTCTTGGACGTCTCCTAGGGGCCTTTGAGGCCCTCGGGAAGCTTTTGGGGTCCTCGTCGGACCACCCGGGGGCCTCTTGCGGCCTCCTGTGGGCCTTTTGGGGGGAACGCTCTGCTGTTGGGTCGCGTTCCCCCTTCTTGGGCCTCTCTTGGGGCTCTTGGGGCCCTCTCGGGCCGTCTTGGGCGCCTCAAGCACTGTCTTGGGGCCCTCGCGGGCCGTCTTCGGGCCCTCTTGGAGGCCTCTTCCTCTATAAGGGAGCGGTATTGGAAGCCTCTTGGGCCGTCTTGGAGCATCGGGATGCCAAAAGGCCGAAAAAATTAAAAACCCGTCAGAGCCCAATCGTAAAACAATGAGTTGTGCCTCTTGGGGCCACCTTGGGAGATCTCTTGGAACCTCGTCGGCTCTCTTGGGAGCTTCTTGGGGGCCTCTTGGATCCGATTGGGGGCCTCTTGGGACTTCCCGAGAACCTCTCGGGATAGAAAGCTCGGATTCTCGGTTCGTGTTTCCCTTCTTGGGCCTCTCTTGGGGCCGTCTTGGGGCCCTCTCGGGCCGTCTTGGGCGCCTCAGGCACCGCCTTGGGGCCCTCGTGGGCCGCCCAGGGCCCTCTTGGAAGCCTCTTCGGCTATCTTGGAGCTGTCTGTGGAGGCCTCTTCCTCCTCCTCGTCCCCCTCCTCCTCCTCCCACTCCAGCTCTCTCTCTCCTCCTGATCTTCCTCCTCCTCCTGCAGCGTGTTCCGGAAGGCTCCCGCCGGAACATGCTGTGCACAAGTGCTGTCACTGCTCCCGCCACCGTGCCCTGGGTGGTGGGTCAGAGGCCTCATGGGTGTTGGTTTGGATCTCGTGGTTGGCCTGTCGGGGACGTCGTGAAGGCAGGTTTCGCAGCTTCTCGGTAGCCGTTTTGGGACCGTTGTGGGGCCTCCTCGGGGCTGTTTTGTGGCCTCTTTAGGCCTCGTTTGGGCCTCCTGGGTGCCTCTTGGGGGCCTCCTGGGGCCTCTTGGGGGCTCCTTGGGGCCTCCTGGGGCACTCTTCAAGCGGGAGGGTCGAATTTTGGAGTCGTGGTCCCCCTCTTGGGCGCATCTTGGGGCCGTCTTGGGGCTCTGTTGGGCTGTCTTGGGCGACTCTGGGGCCGTCTTGGGGCCCTCTTAAACCGTCTTGGGGCGCCCTTGGGGGCCTATAAAGCCGTCTTGGAAGGTCAGACAGTCGAAAAGGCTGGAAGGCCACAATCGTTGGAAAACCTTCGTAAAATTGACGATTTCGGCCTCTTAAAGCGATCTGGAGAGGCGTCTGGAAGCGTCGTGGAATGCCTTGGGGGACCTCTCGGGCCGTCTTGGGCGTATCTTGGGCGTCCTGGAACGGTCTTTCGGCGACTTGGGGCCCGCTTGGGCCGTCTTGGGAGCCTCTGGAGGCCCTCCTGGATTATTTTGGACCTGCCAGGGCGCCCCGTCCTCCCATGGGGGGTCGGAGGCGGCGGCCTCCGAGGCCCAGGACGCGAAAAACCTATAAAAACACACGGAAAATGAGCCCCGGTACCCCCATGGAGGGTCGAGGCAGCTGTTTTCGGGCCCCGGGCCTGCTCCCCTGGGATATATATATATATATATATATATATATATACATATATATACATACATACATACATACATACATACATACATACATACATACATACATACATACATACATACATACATACATACATACATACATACATACATGCATGCATACATACATACATACATACATACATACATACATACATACATACATGCATATACACGTGTATACATACTACATACGCAAACAAAAATTTGTCACATGCATGATATGAGTGTACAATGGTTGATGGACAGACATACAAGAATCTGAACAGCAACATATCTATGTATATATATGTGCGTGATGGTTGTAGGATAGACACATCTATACGAGCATCTATATAGACAGGTGGACGCAGACATGTGCGGGTGCGTGGACAAATAGATCGATTAATCAACTGAAATGTATGTGAAATTATACGTCTACAGGTAGACAGATGGGTAGCTGCCGTCGTAGACACATGCATGGACCATCAAATAGATGGACGGAAACACAGGTGGAATTACCAACAGTCATGCACAGGCGGGCGGATAGGAACGCCGAGTGGATCGGTACGCATATTTAGAGAGCCACACACACACACACACATGCGCGCGCGGGGGGGGCGGGGGCAACCGACGCCGACCCCCCCCAACTCCCCTTGCCCAGCCTGCGTCGCACGGGCGCGCGACGAGAGGTAGATACAGCAGAATCCTCCCCAATCCATGCCCGGCGCGCAGAGCGCGCGAGGGCGTCCGCCACCTGCCCCCGCGCCTTCTCAGCACTGCGCGCGGGGGCGCAAGAGAGCTCCCCACCCCCACAAAGAAACAGCCAGTTCCTCCTGCCAGCTCGCTCTCCGCGCCGCGTGCTGGGGTGCCCGGGTGCCCGGGTGCCAAAATGCCCTGGTGCCAGGGTGCCCGGGTGCCCAAATGCCTGGGTGCCGGGGTGCGCCCGGGTGCCTGGGTGCCCAGGTGCCCAGGTGCACGGGTGCCTGGTAGCCCTATAGCCCGATAGCCTTATAGCCTTATAGCCCTATAGCCCTATAGCCCTATAGCCCTGTAGCCCCACAGCCCTATAGCCCAGAAGCCCTAATGGCCCTATAGCCTTATAGCTCTATAGCCCCATAGCCCCACAGCCCCATAGCCCCATAGCCCTATAGCCCCATAGCCCTATAGCCCTAAATGGATTCTGATTGGGGCTTTTCTCCGGTATAATTTGAAACGCATGTGCGCGGCGCTCAAGCGAGAGCCACATTTTGAAAATGACCCGCCCTCAATGCGTGAAGATCTTGCAAATGTCTGGAACGAATGCGCGCTGCGCTAAGGCGAGAGTCTCATTTTGAAAACGACCCGCCCTCCATCTGAAACTGCTGCCAATGCTTAAGCTTCAGGGTCATAAATGGTGAGGAAGTCTCAGGCGAAACGCCCAGACTGCCCTAAAAACTGGCTTCGGGGTGCGACAGGGAGAAGCTGTTCACAAGGAAAACGAATGGAGGAGGAGGACCATAAGGTGCAGGGTGCGTCCTGCGCGATGGCCTCGTCGTTCACCAGCTGGCGCAGGCCCTCCACGTAGCCCCGCGAGGCGTCCGGGGGCGCGAAACGATCGCCCTCCTCGCGCCTGTCCGACAGAGCCGGGTGGAAAACCTGCCTCAGCAATGCCGCGTCTTCCCCCTGGAACACGGCGCCGTCCTCCAGGCCGGCCCAGAAGGGCGCGGCAAGCGGCGCGCACCGCAGGGCCTCGAAGCCGCCCCCCTTGACAACGGTGGCGGTCGAGAGGTCGAAGTCGTCGAGGCTCAGGTCGACACCGCGCATCGCGGGCGTGCGCAGCCCTCTGGCGGCGCGCACGCGGGGGATGGCGCGAGGAGGGCCGCCTTCCTGGAATCATCGGTTCCTGGATGAGGCCCTGAGCCCCCTCCTCCCCTCCTCCTCCTCCACCTCCTCCTCCTCCTCCTCCTGGCCTCCGAGGCCACGCGTTTTTCTTAGCCGTACCCTGCCTCTCCTGAAGGCCCAGAGCGGGGGACAGCAGCAGGGACACGGATCGAACGTCGGTCGCCGCAGGAGGGGGACCCGCGGCCTCCAACGGTGCAGGTTCAGCACGGGATTGCTCGCCTGCATCCTCCGGGCCCCAGCCCTCAGGACCTCGGCCCGGAACCGCCGATAGACGGTGGGGATTTCCTCCAAGGCAGGGCCTCCCTTGGAGAGGCCCTGAGGCTGCGACGCACAGGGACATGCTAGCACGATGTGTTCTCCTTGAAGGCGCGCGTCCGACCCGAACATGCCATCTGCCCATCTTGCAGCGCATCGTTGCCCGAGCGGTGTGGCCAGCAAGAGCCCGCCACGACGCACGAAGCCGTGGGAGGGGCTTCTGCGCCGCACCCCGGGCACTCTTCGAGGCCCCCCCCCACCCCGCCCACCGAGGGCAGGCTGCCGCCCTCGCGCCACCCCCCTTCCCTGAGAGGCGACCTCGCGAGAAGGTTTGAGCCTGGTCAGAAACCACGACCCGAGCCCCAGCCCCCGTCTGTATGCTGCACACTTCGCGCCGGATCGACCTGTGTTTGGAGGCCTTCCCGCGGAGCTTTCAACGGAAGAGGTTCGCTCTCGCCCTGCAGATCCAAAAACTGTGTTTAGAGGCCTTCCGAATGGGGTCGGAGTCGATGGGGTCGAAGATCGCGCTGCATCGGCGATGCATCGGCGATGCATAGGCTAATTACGGCGGCGTGGAGAAAATTGTGCCCCACATCGAGCCGCATCGCTGATGCATCGGCGATGCATCGGCGATGCATCGGCGATGCGGCGCGATCCTCCGACCCCACCTACTCCGACCCCATCGCGCCCCAGTTCCCGTCTTCCTGCCGCATCTCTCGCGCCAGATCGATCTGTGTCGGCCCTGGGGCCCGAGACCCTGGCGAAAAGAAGCGCCCCGTGCGAGAGAAAAAAAAACACGCGACGCCAGAATATCGCAGGGCTTGTGTTAGCTCGGGCGTGTCCTCCTACAGGCAAACTTTGGACGAAAATTCAAGATACCCCAAGAATATTCAATACTCAAAAAATAAGAATCGAAAAAGAGCCCAAACATCGAAAATAGCCGAGACATGTCTTTTCCCTATGTTTAAAGATTCCTCCTGTAGAGGGACACGCCCGACTCCAGGCTTGTGCGCGCCGCCGGGTCCTCCGGTGACGCTGGTTGCCATCGACAGCGCGGCCGAGACGCGCGGCATCGGGCCGCGGGCGCCCACGCGGGCAAACTGCACCGAGGCCGCGGCCGCCCGGGCGCCCACGGTGAACCTCTCCAGCCCGAACTGCACGCCGCGCGGCACCCCGCCGGCGCGCATGGAGACGGCGGCGCGCATCCCCGGCGCCCGGAGGCCGCCGGTGACGCTGGTGGCCATGCGCCAGCGGCTCCGAAGGGTGCGGTCTGCCGAGGGCGTGGGATTCGCAGCCCACGCCCGGGGAGGCTCGGCGGCGAGCGAGGGGGGGGGGGAGCGAGGAGGAGGAGGCCTGCTCGGAAGGCGGCGGGGCTGCTCAGAAGGCCTCGGACCAGGGAAGGCGCAGAGAATGCTTCTCAGAAGGCCGGGGGACTTCCGAGCCTTCTGAGAAGGCCCGCCCCTTCTCACCTCACCCGCGGGCTCGCCGCCGAGAGACGGGCGAGGACCTCGACGGAGATCTCTGCCGCCCCCCGACGAAGGCTCATCAAAATTCTGGCGCAACGTGGTGCCCCCCGAGCCCACACCCCGGCGTAACCACACCCTTGGTAGTCGCCGAATGGACAGCGCGGCCGACACGCGCGGCATCGGGCCCCGGGCGCCGACGCGCCCGAGCTGCACCGAGGTGGACGCGGCGCGGGCGCCCACACTGAACCTCTCGAGCCCGAACTGCACCCCGCCGTAGACGCCACGAACCTGCGGGGCCACCACCTGAGCGACGCAAAAAGAACGCCTCCCACCCGAGATGGTATAGCGACCTTGAGCAGTGGATCACGCGGGCCACCAGCGTGGCCAACCGCGTGGAGAAGAGGGCGCTTACGCGCGACCTCACGCGGGCAGCCTACGCTGAGGCATGTCCTCCTACAGGCGGATTTTGGAGGGAAATTTAGAAAATAGTTGTGAAACATATTCAAAAACAGTCCAAAATAGTCGAACATTCGTCCCCTGACTACTTTGGATTTGGGGGATATTCCTCCTGTAGAAGGGACATGCCCGACTTAAGCCTACGCGCGATGGGCGGCGCCGTCGACCCCGTTTTGATGCGTCGCTCACCTGCTCCTCCACGCCGCCACCCTGCACGGCGATGGCCGCGTGGTAGCGCTCGTTCCACAGCTGCGGGACCTCCAGCGAGCAGGCGGGCTCCACCACGCGCGACAGGCCGAACCAGGACTCCTCCAGCGGCACCTCGGCCTCCAGCAGGAACTTGGCCAGCACGGACGCCTTGGCGAGCTCGCGCAGGTGGTACACGACGCTGCGGCGCTCCGCTATGAGGTCGAAATTCTTGGAGAAGGCCTGCGCGTACCTCACCAGCGGGTGCTCGGGCTTCGTGATGGGCGCGTCCTCCAGGCCACTGGCGGTCTCGATCTGTTCGCGCGCCTCCACGCCCATCTTGACAAAAGGGACGAGGGCGCCGTCCTCCGTCATCTGGACGTCTGCCTCCCGCACCACGAACCACTCGCGAGCGTTCCACTCGTCCTCGTTGGCCCGGTCGCTGTCCTCCAGCTGCCAGCAGCTCTTCATGCCGACCACCGGCTGCTCGTGCTCGCCCATAGAAAGCTCCTTGAGGTGGTAGTCGGCCTGGAACATCACCTCTCCCACGCTCGTGCCCGCCAGCCACTCTGGCTCGAAGCGCTTCTCCTGCATAGCCCCACGGGCCCACTCCGTGCCAGTCGGGTCGAGGGAAAAGTAAGGCTCTCGGCCCTCGTCTCGCCGGACCTTCAGGGCCGTGGACAGGTATTCCAGGTTGACCGCCGCCGCTGGCTCCATGGTGGGCGCGATGCGCACGGACCCCGAGGCCGGGTCCAGGACCATGCAGCACATGCCCTGAGGAGTGCTGTGGTTCCCCAGCGCTTCGTGCTTCCAGCCGATGCCGTACTCCGCACGGGTGGCGCTCTTCAGTTTCTGCTCCTCCCGCAGGCGGGAGGCCTCCTGCTCGCTCAGGCTGCGCACCATGAACTCCGACACGCACTCCTCGTGCAGCGGCACCTTGCTGCCACTGCTGGTGTACACCCTCTCGCCAAGCGGCAGCCTGCAGTGCCCGCACAGCTGAACCTGGGGGAGCCACAGATGCCGCTGCTCCCTGGACCTCTCCTGGGGCGCGTTCTGACCAGGATTTTTCCAAAGTGAATGCAGCCGCAGCGACGAGGGCCTCCCAGGAAACCAAAAAGGCAAGCACGCGGGAGGGGCAACGGTATTGGACACCTTCCCTCGAGGAACAAACAAGTGCCTCAACAGAAACTCGTGGCGCTCCGCGCGCATTTCTCGGATCGGCGGTGGAGCTCCCGGGCGGCGCCTCTGGCGCCGCCCACCCGGCGCGCTCCGAGCGCCATGGAGAGGGGGGGTCCAGCGCCGATCCACGAGGTCCGCGCGGACATCCGAAGGCTCGTGCTTACAGTAGAGGCCCACGCCAAGAAACGCCCTGCTCGCCTCCACGGTGCCCCGGGTTTCCTGGGTCTCGATGGTCTTGCTGTGGAGATCGCGACGCTCCCACGCCAAAAACCCGTGGACGTCCCGAGGCTCGCGGGTTGGGCTTCTTGTGGAAGGTTCCTAGTGGACTGGCCTCCACTGCATTGAAGGGGCCCTGCGACACACAAATAAATACACACAAACAACAGGATTCTCAATATTTTCCTATATTTTCTAGGGTTTTTGCTGTCCCCCCCCACTTCCCACATTTTCCCATACTTTCCTGGGGATCGACGATGAATTGTGTCTGTGTGTTTCTTCCCCTCCCGACTCTTGAGAACCTCCTCCCCGTCCGAGTCCTCCGCGCTGGCTCCGGCGCCGCCCGCGCACGCGGCGGCCAGCCCCAGGGCGCGCTCCAGCTCGCCGCGGGCGCGCTCCTCCGGCCTCGCTGGCGCCTCGTGCTGCGCGTCGGCCCTCCAGGAGAAGGCCCTCCTCTTGGGACGACGGCGACGACGACGACGACGACGACGACGCCGGCGCCGACGCCGACGCCGACGCCGATGGCGGCGGAGCACCCTGCGCCCGTGTCAGCGCCGGCGCCGGGGCCCAGCTGCAATTAAGGGGGGGGGGCCCGTTCAAGCGAGTCCACCGAGCGCGCTGTCTTCGGGGGCGCGCGAACATGGATTAGCGATCCATGGATTTGGCGCGCGGTCGCCAAATCCATGGATCGGGGGAGGTGCCCTCCCCAAAATGCGGCCGGTGCCACCTTGCTGGGCGGCGGAAATCCACAATTTCCCATGGAAACGGGACCTGACGCTGATCCACGTCCCCTTGATCCATGTCTGCGATCGCCTGACTCTTGGGACGAAGGCGGACATTGGGTGCGCACAACCGACCCGAACATATAGCACAGCAGTACGTCAGCATAGCGCTCCCGGAGCGGTATCGCGAGAAAGCGTCAGCCACGGAGCATATAGTGTGAGGTTGGCGATGGAAAGATGGCGTGCAACATCAATCTTCGAGAAGCACGCTGTCCCTGTGATGTGATCCCCCAACAAGGGCCCCTTTCTGTGCACGCTATCCACCTGCCAGGGTCTCTGCGGTGCACGGTATCATCGCAAAATTTTGGACGCCCGCAATGGTGACGGAAAAAATGCGTACCCTTTGCTTCAAATGGACAACGCCCGCGGCGACACCGACAGCAAATCCTGCTGTTGGTCGGTGTACCCATTACTTCAGCGCCCATCTCGACCGTACCGGAAGCTTGGAGACAACGCGTCATGAGCGGGGCGGTGGCGCCACATCGCAAGCTATCTTCCCAAGGCCAACCAGAATTCCACATTCCTGAGCGTCCGCGCCGTCCCTGCTTCTGTGGCAACTCGTGGGAGCCTTCCTTACCTACTTGCCCGCCCTTGTGAATCGGCGCTAATCGACGTTCATCGACGCGAAATTAGTGCTAATCGACGCTACATCAGCACTTTCTCATCGATCACCAGACGCTAGTCGGCGACAGTGCACTCTAAGGACGGAGTTACGAGGGCACCCGAGGCTCCCATCATCTTCTACCGAATGAGCTAGAGGATGAAAAAGCAGCATAAACAAGAAACATTCGACGCTACGCGCGGATTTCTCGGATCGGCACTCGAGCTCCCCGGCGGCATCTCCGGCGCTGCCCCTGGCGCGCTCCGCGTGCCGCGGAGGGGGGTCCAGCGCCGAACCGAGAGATCCGCACGGACCTCCGAAAATTCATGCTTATGTCACTTATGTCATTAGTTGTTTCCCGATTCTCCTTTTTTTTTGAACCACCCCCCGTCTAGGGAACAACGAATGACATGAACATAAACGTTCGGAGGTCGGCGCGGATTTCTGGAATCGGCGTTGGAACCCCCTCCACGAGCGCGGAGCACGCCAGGGGCGGCGCCGGAGGCGCCGCCACGGGGTTTCAGCGCAGATCCGAGAAACCCGCGCGGAGTGCCGAAACTCTTACGCTTGCGCTGTTCTGTTCGACCTCGAGGTGCGTGCGCGCCGCCCCTGCCGGTCCGAAGCACGCGTGGTTTCCAGGCAGCCCCTCGGGGAGCTGCAGGAAGGCCTCAGATGAGAGGCCAGCAGCGCAGGGCAGCCCTGGAGCTCCCTCGGGCTCACGGCAGGGAGCGCCGCTGCGCTTCCTGCGAACTGGCAGCGCGTCCCAGGAGGCCTCGTTTCTAGCTGCTTCCCAGACACGTACCCCGTCAAGCTTCCCAGAAGCTCCCTCCCAGAGCTTCCAGGCCTCCTTCGACGGACCTTCGGGCTGCTCCTGTCGCCACGCTTTCTGGGCTCTGGGCACCGCAAGCACACGACTGTTCGGGTGCTGCCGATCCTCTGGGAGCCTGGCCGGTCGGGGCCCCCGTCGCCCGCGGCAGGCCTGCCGAAGCGGCCGGCGTACTGCTGCAGCGCCAGCCTCTGCTGCTGCTGCTCGGTGACGTCCTCCAGCCTCGCGACGAGGTCCTTGCCCCTGCGCGGCGGCGCGAAAATCGGGGGGGGGCGAGCAGGACAGCGGAGGGCCGGCAGGGCAGGGGATCAGCTCGCGTGGCTGGTACCCCTGGTGCCTCCTGGCGCGGGGAGGCGGCCATGCCATCGAGGCATGGGCCCGGCGGCGAAGCGGGAACCAGCTGCACGCAGCAGAGTTCGTACCCCCTCCCCTTCCCTATCCAACCCCTCCCTCCTCCCCTCCTCCCCCTCCTCCCCCTCCTCGTCCGGCTCGAGAAAAACCCTGAGATCCAGGCGTGGCAATTCCTTCACACCGGGCGTTCTCGGCCAGTCCTGGGCCCCAGGACCAGTCTGGCGGCGCGCACAGGGGGGCAACTGGGGGGGAGGGGACGGCTTCTTGGCAGTAGGCTGCTCCTTAGAAGGCGCCAGCCTCACATCTATGGACCAGGCCCGCGCCTTCTGCAGAGTGCTTCTAAAAAGCCTTCCCCCTCCCCCTCCCGCCTCTGCGCGTGGCTGACCATCACAAATCGATCCCGCTCTGGAAAAAAACAAAAAGAGAGATGGGGTCCGCGAACCGGGTCTTGCGGATTTGGGCCGAACAAAAACTCGCCCCCCCCCCCAAAAAAAACAATCAATAGTACTTAACAAATCGTCCCCTCCCTATGTTTTGACTATGCTTTGAGATTCCTCCTGCCAGGGGACATACCCGACCGAACTCTTGTCGCCGCCCCTGCGCGGCGGCGAGCAGCCCCAAACCTCCGACGCCTCGAGAAACTCCGTGCGGAAGTCTTCTCCGCTTCCGGCCTCGGGCGGGGGCCTCGCCGGGCCCACTGGGAACGTCAAGGCACGGCGCAGGACGGAGAGCCAGCCCCAGGGGAGAGGAGAGCTCCAGACATTCCGGGGCCCCGCAGGGAGACACTCGAGACACCGAGTGTCGGGAAGCTCGGAGCTCGGAACTTGGAGGTCCGCGGAGAGATGCCATGAGGGCATCGCTGTCGGGGGGGGGGGGGCACTGCGCTGACGACGCCGGGCAGACCAGGATGCCGGGGCGGGGCAGGCGGGGCAGGGGGCCGTCTTCTGGGAAGGCGGGGTGCTTGTCCAGGAGGGCTCGGCGGCCTCCTGGAGAGGCTTCTGGGAGAGCGAGGCGGCTTCCAGGAAACTCCCGGCCCCACGCCCCTTCCGACCAGCCACAACTGGGGGAGCTGCGCTCCTTTGACCCTCTGGAGCAAGCCACCGTATCGACAAGCTCTCGAGAGGGGCGTGGAAGCCGATGGGGCCCTCAGGCAGCAGGGACATCAGCTCCCTCAGTCGTGGCCAGTGTGCCCTCGTCAAAACAGTGAAGGACCAACCCCCACCCCCAGTCCCGACCCCCACCACCGAACCAGCAATCCAGGGGGTCGGAGCTCGTCCCCTGACGTTGCCCCGCAGGGAATCGGGTCCTGAGCTTTTACGCCGTCTTCGGGCTTCTGCGGCCCCCCTGAGCACCGGAGCCGTCCACAGAACGAGTCTGGATAAAGAGCTGTTCCTGGGGAAAGGCCCCTGGCCAGGATGAAGACCTTGCCCGTGTCTGGCCTGGGGTGGGGTTTTCGGGGCCCAGGGATCCAGAACACACCCCCGACCCCGGTGCCGACCCCGTGGATCGCCACCTCGGGGGGTGGGGGTCGGGACTCGGGGTGGGGGTGGGCTTCCGCCCTCCGACTCGTGCGCGCCGCCAGCCTGTACGAGGTGCTCACCCAGCCGCTGCGCGGGCCATCGCCGGTCACGAGCTCGTACCGGAGCCGACCGCCGTCCAGGGCCAGCTGCCGCACCAGCGCGCCGGTGGAGAGCCGGCAGTCCGCCTCTGGGGCCGAGGTGCCCTGGCCGTCCCTCACGATGAGGCCGCCACTGGCCCCGCCGCCCACCACCTGGAGTGGGGCGTCGGTTGTGCACGCCACGCCGAGCCTCTTGTGTCGGGGGGGGAGGGCAGAGCGCGACGCCACCTCTCCACGCTGCTCGGCCTCAACCGCTGTGCGAATCAAGATGTTCCCGGACAGCTCGTGGAGAGCCAAGAGGGTTCCACGTGGTGGCCCCGCAGCTCTTTCCAGCTTCCGGCGGGACACCTCGCAAAAACTTGCTTGAGCCGGCAGCGTGTCCCAGAACGCCTTGTTTCTTCTGACTGTTTCCCGATACGTGTGCCGTCAAGCTTTCCAGAAGCTCTGAAAGAGTCGGGACTTCTGGGGACCCCGAGTTGAAAAAAGACCAAGACCCTGAGATCGGACATGGAAAATCACAACCAAAGCCCCTGCTCCCATCTTCCTGCGGTCTTTTTCGAGCCAGGTCGATGCGCGAGGGTCCCTCCGAGGCCCGAAAACGAGGCAGAACCGCCCGCTGCGGAAAGAATGCTGTGCCGGGATCTCGGGGGACTCTCTGGCTCGGGCGCATGCGCCGCTCAGCCTGGGCCCAGGACCAGGACCACGCCAGGACCACGCCGGGACCACGCCGGGGCCACACCCAGGTCCAGCGTGGGACGCCGGCGCCCCCCCACCACCTGCCACAGGGCACCCTCGGGGCCGTCGCCCTTGCACATCCTGACTTGCGTGCGGCGCGGCCCCCTGGCGGCGGGGCTGCGCGGCACAGGGGCTGGGCGCTGCGGCGCCGCGCGGGAGGGGCGAAGCGAAGCTGCGGCGCGCAGGGGCCCGGTGGAGAAGGAAAGCGGAAGGGGGGGGCTGGGGGCCTCTGTCCTATGTTCCTCGATGTTGTTCCTCCCCTTCGTTCCTATGTTGTCGCCCCTCTTCGATCCCGCCCTCTTCGCCCCTCCTCCTCCTCCTCCTCCTCCTCCTCCTCCTCCTCCTCCTCCTCCTTCTCCTCCTCCTCCTGCTCCTCCTCCTCCTCCTCCTCCTTCTCGTTTCTCGCTGCTCCTCGTTCATCTTTGCTCCTCGCTCCGCCTCCTCGTCTCGTTCGCTCCTCAGGCAGGCCGCTGGCTTGCGCCAGGGGGGCAGGGAATCCTGAGATCTGGGCATTGCGTTTTGTTCGCAACGGGGGACTCCGCCCTGTTTCGGGCCACAAGGTTCTCACAGATCAGTCTGGCTCGAAGAAGGCAGCAAGAAGATGGCGCCTACGGTTCTGGTCGTGATGTTTCACCATGTTGCTGAATCTTCGCTACGTCGGATCACAGGATGGGCAGGGAGGTGGACGAGGAGTCCATTCGAGATCAGACGCTCCAAGTCACAGACAGCAGCCGAAACGCAGAGCATCTGCAGGCCACGGGAAAGTCAGCATGGAACTGTTGATTCGCAACTGTGGACGCGTGGTCAGAGAAGGGCAAGGCATCGAGGAGAGGGGCCCCAAGAAGAAGACGAGCAGGCCCCAGGCTGGATCTGCGTGCCTGGACGGGCTCAGTCCGTACCAAACCCAACAGGTGCCCCGGCGCTGGCCTGCGGGCGCAGCACGCATAATGGGCAAAGGAAGGGAGAACGAGGGAGAAGTTCCAGACCCTGCGCTGTGCAGGAGGGCCGAGCCCTGCCCGTCCGGTGGGGAGCACAGCGGCCCAACCGTCGAGGACGGCGATGCCGCGGGCCCGTGGGAGCAGCTTGGAAGCACACACGGCGCCGCCCCCGCGCGCTGCAGGTAGGAATGCCGCGGGCAGCCCAAGACGGTCCTGAATGGCCGAAGGATCACACAGTGACGGCCCCAGCAAGCCCCGAGATGGCCCCGACGTGGCCCCGCGAGGCCACGAGGGCCTCCACGAGGGGCCCTCGAAAAGCACGAGCACTAAAAACATGGATCGGGCATTCGCATGAAACTGGAGTTCCTAGCTTGTTGGCTGCTGGCGGCCCCACGAAGGAACCCAGCGAGCTCCGAGAACATCCAAGGCGGGCCAAGAAACACCCAAGGACCCCGCAGATGGGCCGAAAGAACCCCACTCATGATGGACAAAACCCCCTTTAGTAAAACGCGGTGCAATTCACTACTCGACGTGTCAGGGAACCGGGTTCTGTCCAACGTCGACCCCGGACGGCCCCGGACCTCCCCAAGCCGCCCAAGACGCACCCAGATTGACCCCAGAGGCCCCCAACTGGCCTCCAAGACGGCCCCCAGGCCCGTGGCCGCCCCACGGCGGGCCCAAAAAACAAATTTGTCCTCCAAAGATGGCGCCGGCAATAGCCACGCTGTCGTCGTCGCCTGCTGCGCCGCGGCGGATGTTCTCCAGGGCGGGAGTGTTGTCTTCGAACAGGATCAGCCGGGCGCCGCGCACTACCTCGGGGCACGTCAGCAGCAGGACGCGCACGGCGAGCAGCTCGGACTGCGTGTTCCGCTGCTTTTTACCGACCTTGAGAAGCTCTGCGCAGAGGTTCGGCGGGATGTGCGCGGACAAACTGTGGCCACCGCTTATGGGGGACAACACCATGCCCCCGATGGCGCCTGCCCCGGCTTCCATGTCCCAGGACCCATCGACCCACCCGACGATCCGTGCCGTGGACGCGCTTGTGGCACAGCGTGCACTGTAGAAGTGATTTCCACCAGGACAGCGCGTGAGCGAGGCGGCGAGACCGGCCTCCGGCGCGCGCTGGCACCGGGGAGGCGTAGGCGCGGCCAACGCGGCCGAACATCGCCGAGGTGGCGAAGCCCAGCTGGCCGCCCAGCCTGGCGGCGTCGCGCTTGCAGAGGCGCCGTGCTCGGAGGGCGGCGCCCACGTCGTCGGACAGCGCGGCGCGGCGCTTGGCGGTAAGGCGCAGGCCCGCCCAGCGTGGGATGGTGAGGACGCCCAGGCCTAGCAGGTCCAGCACGGCTGCTGGGCCCTGGTTCATTCCCTCCTTCAGCGGGATCCCGAGCATGGCGTGCAGCTCCTGGAATACCCATTCGTGGAGGGCGGCCCACCTGGCGGGCGAGGCACGGTGGAAGTCGTCCACCTACGCGTTCTGCGGCACGCTGAAGATGCGTCGTAGGGGGTGGTTCACGCTGGCGGCGACTCGCGCGTACCCCCACACGGCCCCGAAGGCGCCGAATGGCAGGGCTTTGTGCGCGCAGGCCCGGTAGCCGCCCGCGTGCCCGACGCTGTCGTCCCAGACGAGGCAGACCAGCAGGGGCGCGTCGTCGGGGTGCACTGGCCACTGCCGGCATGCTTGGGCGTGGTCACCCTTTGCGATGAGCGGCACGCCGCCGTCGCCCCAGTCGCGGAATGTCTCGGCGATGGAGAAAACGGCGTCGAGGAGCGAGGCCAGGCCGGCCATGCGCATGCGCCCCTGGGTGGCGACAGCCAAAATGAGGCCGCTCGCTGTCGCATCATCGATGGGGCGCACTTTGTAGGAGGCGGCGGCGCGGCCCTGGACGCGGGGGAAATGGCGCGTCGGTAGCCACCGGGCAAAGGGCACAGTGAAATTTACGCGCCCAGCGGCGTCAAGCCACACCTCTCACGGGCCGCCCAGCTTGCCCGCTGTGCATTCCTCCTTTGTGATTCGGTGCACTTCAGCCATGTCCGGCTCGCGCTTGGCGTTCTGGAGCATTTCCAGCAGCATGGCGCCCTTGGAATCGAGCGCGTGCTCGAGCGCGCGGCCCAGTGGAGCGGCGTCTGGGAGGTCGCCACCGCCCACGTTTTCGAACAGCTTCGTGTCGGGCAGGACGCCCCGCATCCGAAATGCCGACATTATGTCGGCTATGACATCGGTGTCCTCGTGCCCTAATGCCAGAAGTAGCTCTCGGTGTAGCGGCCCGTTGTATCCTGGCGGCAGCACGCACGCCAGGCACGCGCGGCGTCCACCAGAGAGGCCTGGACGCGTTTCCAATACTGAATCTGCCCGATGACCCACGGCTCGTAGTCGGGGCAATCGCGCGCCCAGAACAGCGCGCTGCGGATGGGGGCCGGCAGGGGCGCGGTCGGGGGCTCCGCCCACGCGGCCAATGGTTGGCCGTTCGCATGGCCCCACGCCCGGTCGATGTGTTGGACCAGCGCGATGGTGCGCTGCAGTTGCGTTGCGGCTTTGCCGCACCGGCGGGGCGCGCCGAGGGGCCGGGGCGGCGCCGCTGCGGCGCCCCCGCACCAGGGGATAGCGCCCGGGCGCGGAAGCCCCGGGCGCCACGCGGCGCAGGGCGGCGGGGCATAGGGCGGGGGGCAGCGACGGGCGCACCGTGAGGGCCACGTGTGCCTGGCGCGGTCGTGGCGCGCGCGCCAGCGCCACTGCCTGGCGGAGGTGCGAGGGGCGAGGTGCGCGAACTTCCCTCGCGCGGCTGTCTGCGAGGGCCGTGCTGGCGAGGGCCGGGGTTACTAATGCAGCAAGCGCGGCCGTCGTGGGCACGAGCGCCGCTTGGGAGCTCACCGCTTGGGCTGAGCTCGCTGCGCTGCCGGCTGCGGCCCGGCTGCGAGCGCGGCGCATGCGAGGGGCGTGGCCGGCGGGCGGCTGTACAGGCGCCGCAGTGACGCCGTATTAAGGGCGCCCGAAGCCCGCGTGGGCGCCCAGTCCAGGCTAAGCAGGTAACCGCTCTGCGCGTCGGCGGCCTGGAAATCCGCCGCCGCGCTTGCGGGGGCTAGACAAGCGTGACGGAACCAGCAGGCGTCGCCGTGCTTGCAGGTCTTCCCGCTGCTGAAATGCCAGCACAGGTCGCCCTCGGAAGCGCGCTGGGCGTGCTCTGCGGGCGGCGTGGGCTCGCCCTTGCCCTTGCCCTTGCCCTTGGGGGGGCTGGGCCGGGGCGCTCGGGTAGCCGGCTGCGGCGGCGGCCCGCTCGCGGCGCTCGCCACGGGTGAGGCGGGGGCGCTTTGGGCGGCTTTCGCCAGCCCCGTCGAGGGCGGCAGCTGCGTTGCATGAGCTGGGGGCGGACTGGCCGGCCTGACGCGGCGCGAGCGCGAGCCGGCCGTCCAGCCCGCCGGCGTCTGCTGGGAGGGGACCGAGGACGGCGCCGTCGAGCTCGTCGGCATTCCGGCTCGCCTTCGCCCACTGGCCCTGGAAGAGGCAGAGCGCGCGCTGCACCTCCGTGAGCGTTATGGGGCGGTAGCCGGGCATGGGCTGCCTGGAGCGTCGGACGCGACTCCAGAACCGCTCGTGGAAGGTCACCAGACAGTCGATGTCTTTGACCCAGCCGCAAAGGAAAAGCAGGTTCTCGATGAGGGAGCAGGCCTCCTCGAGCACGACGAGGCCGCCGGCCAGCGCCTCGGAAATCGCGGCCATGCGCCAGGCGAAGACGCCGCCGACGTCAGGTTTGAGATCGGCCGCGGCGGGCCGGGCGCGGGCCGCTGCGTCGGACTGGACCTTCGCGGCCGCGACGGCTTCGAACTTTTGGTTGACTCGGCGGAGGCGCCCCCACCGGCCCCACATCCGCATGGGCGGGATGCGGCCGGGGTCTACTTCGCAGCGCCGCGCCATGTTTATAGCGACTGGAGTCGCTGCTTGCGGTAGTCCGGGTTGAGCTCGTAGTACTCCGCCGCGGTCGCGTCGCGTGCTTCAAGCGGCGTGGCCTCGGGGGCGCTGGCCGCGGCGGCGCCCTTCTCGCAGCGTTCGTAGCACTTCTCGTAGAATTGGCGGACCTCGGCATAAGCCCCGGAGCCCGGCTCGACAGCGTCGCAGGCGGCTGCGATGGACTCCAGGAACGCGACGTCCACGGTCATGGCGACGGTGACGCCGTTCTCCCCCTCGAGGAACTGCGGCGAGACGCTGTCCACGACCAGCGCGGCGTCGTCCAGCCCCTGCGCGGTGGGGTGGTCGCGGACCTGCTGGGGCAGCGCCGCGACCCAGTCGCCGAACGCGGCCACGGCGCTGCCCGGCGGCGGCGGCGGGGCGGGGCGCGGGCGCAGGCAGCTCTGGGGAAGCGCGGCCGCGGGTGGGACCACAAGAATTGTTCCCGGGGACAACACCGCCTGCCACCGCCGAGGACCGCCCCCCCGCCGCAGCTCGGCCGCAGCTGCGCCACACTGCGCGGGGAGAACCTGGGCAAAGACGCGGCAAGACGGCGGGGCAGCCCCCGAGCTACGCATGCGGGGCACCGCACGGCGGCGGAGCATGCAGCGCCCACTGGCGATGGCCGACCGGGGAGAGGGACCACCGATCGAGGGGGAAGGGGAAGACACCACCGTCCAGGGCAGCAGATCTGGCCGCACTGCATGGGACACTGCTTGCCCCCCCGCAGGCGCCTCATTAGGTACCCAGTCGAGGAGGAGGAGGAGGAGGAGGAGGAGGAGGAGGAGGAGGAGGAGGAGGAGGAGGAGGAGGAGGAGGAGGAGGGGGAATCCGCGTCGCGTTCGGCCCCGCACGGGATTCACGCCTACGCGCCCAGCCAGAGCCGACGACCAGCCTGGCGGCACGCCGCCCGGTGGCCCGCCCGCGAACGCGCGTGGACGTAGCCCGCGCGCGGTGGGCTGACCGCGACGTCGTCAGCCTGACCTTCACTCTCCGTCGCAAGCGGAATGCCTCCCCGTGTACTTCCAGGCCCCTTCTGCGACAGGAAGAAGGGGGGGGGGGGGGGGGGCGCCGCCGCCCCGGCCCAGCGGCGACGGCGCCCGCGCATGCCAGACGGTCGGCCAAGCAGACCCCCGCGGAGCGCGCGCGGGCGCCGCCCCCGTGGGCCTGGGCGTTGACGAGGTACTCCCCTTTTCTGCCTGCGCGCTTATGGGGGGGACAGGGGGAGGGGCCAGCGGTCGCACTGGACTCGCCATGCCGCTGCACTTACTGCCGGCACTGGGCCCACACTCTATGATCCTGCCACTGGCGAGGGGGGGAGGAATGTGGGACGGTCGGCGGGCGCACCGCCCCGGGGCCTCACTGGGCCCTCGGGCTTTTCTTGACGCCGCTCTAACTCAGTCTCGCACACGATTTGGGCTACCCCTTCCCCGGCCCGGGCCCTCACCATTGTTTACTCAAGCAGGAATTACATACCTTGCAGAACACGCACGCGGGCCCCGGCAGCTGCTGGGACCAGCTCGCCTGGGCCACCGCGAAGTCGCACAGGTTCGTGACGGGCCCGTGCGGCGTGTCGACGACGAGGCGCTCGCGGCGTCGGCGCTTGCGCGGCTGCTCTGCTGGCGGGCAGGGCGGTGCTGCTGCGTGGTAGTACGCAACTGGCTTGCGCAATCCGGTGGTCTCGGCGACGAGGTACCCGAGTTCGTTAGCGGGGCGCTCCGTTCCACTTGAGGTCGCCTCGGTCTCGACAGGGAGCCACGCTACCGCGGGGGCCATGGCGCTGCTCCCACTCCGCGTGCCTGCCCCCGCAGACGGCACCATGGAGCACCCATGTCCTGCCGCGGCAGCTGCGCGCAGTGGCGCGGCGGCGCCCACCTCCGGGCCGCGGCTTGCCTCTGGCGGCGAGGCGAGGGGGGCGGCTGCGTGGCCCAGCGGGGCCCGCTCCGCAGGGCTGTGCGCCCGCTCGGCGGCTGCTGCGTGCGCGGTGGGCGGCGTGCCCGCCCGTTTGCTGCGGGCGCGTGCAGGCTGGGGCGCTGGCGCGGCGCTTGCCTGCCCGCCGGCTGGCGCGGCCGCGGGTGCGCTGGCGGGCGCCTCGGGGCTTGCGCGTGACAAAACCGCAGCGAGCGCGGGCGCCGCTGGCTGGGCGGCGGGGTAAGCGCCCTCTCGCCACTGCATGCCTGCAGGCGCGTCTGGGTTGAACGCCCCTTGCACTATGTGTTCGAGCAGTTGACGCAGCTTGGTGACCGGCGCCGCCAGCACCGTGACGTTGTAAGCGCAGACGACTTTGCCGATCCCCGAAGAGCGGCGGTGTCCGAACACCTCGATCTCGCGGTCTGTGAAGATGCCACTGCTGCCCGCCCACGTGAGGATAGTGCGCTCTGAAGAGTGCATGCCGATGGCTTTAGCCTCCCTGGGTGAGAAGCCTGCCGCACTGAGGGCGCGTCGCACGGTGGCCACCCACTCGTCGGGCTCGGCCGCACCAGGTGCCGCTGCCGCGGCGAGTCGGTGCGGAGAGGGGACTGCGAACTCGGCCGTTTCTGAGAGGCCCAGCTGCTCGAGGTCCTGGGAGTAGCCGCTGGCCCAGCACGAGGGCGGCTGGGAGACGCCGCGCAGTGGGGCAATCCACGGCATGCAGCCTCGCAGGCGCATGGCTGTGGCCTCTGTGGCACTTGTTTTGTACGCGGTCCCATACAGGCATCCCCCGGAAACGGCGCCTTCCTGGACCCACTCACCGAAACGGTCCCACACTGCGTCGTCATTCCGCAGGGCGGCGAACAGCTTACGCAATTCAGTGCGGGTGGCTACCCTGTGCAAGGAGTTGTGCAGCGCCGTGGCTGCCCGCTCGAGCATGCGGATCTGTTCCACTGTGTAGATCTGGGGCTGCCGCGCGAATGCTGGGGCCTCTCGCCTGTGGGCGAGCGCGAGGTGTTGGACGCTGACCTCGCCTGCTGGGAGCGGTGGCGTCAGCCCAGCGGCGCGATTGAGAAATCGCAAGGATTCCAGCCGCGCCGCAGGCATTGTTTGGCGTTCTCACCTTTTCGGCTCTCCGACGCTCCAAGTCGGCCCAAGAGCCCCCCAAGACCACCCAAAAAACAGCCTAAGGGGTCCCCCAAGAGGACCCCCCAAGGCCAAAATGATGAATTACCCGTTAGTTTGAGAAAGATGTTGGCGCTCTCACCTTTTCGGCTTTCCGACGCTCCAAGACGGCCCAAGAGGCCCCCAGACCAGCCCCCCCAAAAAGCATCAGGCCTCCAAAAGGGCCCCAAGACGGCCTAAGAGCACCCCAAACGGCCCAAGAGGCCACGGACCGAAAATATGGCGCTGCTTATGTGATGGGATGGCTGGTGGGAGTGAGCGACACGGCTTGCGGTTTGGGTAGGTTGGCCCCTTCTACAACGGAACAATATGAATACTACTCTCCCTTATCCCTGAAAGTGTCCAGAATATCTCCCGCACCCTCCGCGTGCTGCTGTTTCACACAGGACTTCAAAAATGAATGTGGCTTATGGTTTCTACCATCCAACTGTTTCTGGTGTTTCGAAGCATTGTTCCCGCTGCAGCGTGGGCCTCAGTTTCGGATGGGCGCGGTGCTCCCGTCGTTCCGAATGGCGTTCTCGCCCCAGTGCGGGCCACGTTTCTGGATCCGAATCATGAATCATTGTGGCCCCCCCCCGCAATCATTTCCCCTCATCCGCCTTCCCCTCGTCATCTTCCTCCCGCTACTTCCACTTCAGTTTCTGCTGCTGCTGGTCGTCTCGCCCCAGCGCGGGACACTTTTCTGAATCCGAGTCTTTCTTCATCGTTCTCGCACCCCTCATTTCCCCTCCTCTGCCTTCCCTTGGCCACTCTTTCTCTCCCAATCCTTCCGCTTAAGTTCCTGCAACAGCTTGTCGTCCTCATAGATTCCCTCCCGCTCATCCTCCAGCTCACCCGCCACCTCCTCCCGTGCACGCAGCTCCCCTTTTCCGCTTGCGCATGACACGAAGTGGTCTGTTTGTTTGAGTCGCAGGTCGACTATGACACGCGTCCGCGGATAGAGAAAACTCAGCAACATCGGAAGGAATGGGAGGGAGGGATAGGATGTTAGATGAGGCGCGAGCGCAACTAGCTTGCCTTACCCCATCTCCTGGACCTGGACGGGTGGTGCGGATACCGATTGGAGCGTCCAAGAAGGCCTCGGCGGGAATGCAAAAATCATGGACTCTCCTATGGTGTTGGACCAATCTCGGCATCCTGGGAGGGGGGCCTGATTAGGTGCCCCATGATTTGATATAACTCATCCAAGATGGCGCAAAGGTGGCCCCAAAAGGCTACCAAGAGTGCCCGCTCCAAGAGGAGTCCCCAAGAGGCCCCCAAGAGGCCCCCAAGAGGATCCCAAGAAACCCCAAAGACCCCAAGAGGCTCCCCCCGAGGCACTAAAGATTCTCAAAGAGGCCCTCGTTACCGTCAAGAGGCCCCCAAGACGTCCCAAGAAGACCCAAAAGAAACTCTGAAGAGACACACGAAGAGACTCCGAGAGGCATGGAGAAGCCTCTGGCCATGCTGCTCGTCCTACTCCTCCTCCTCCTCCTCATCCTCATCCTCCCTTTCCTCCCTCTGCTCATCCTCCTCCTCCTCTTCCTCCTCCGTCTCCTCCAGCTCCTCCTCCTCCTCCTACTCCTCCTCCTCCTCCTCCTCCTCCTCCTCTTCCTCCTCCTCGTCCTCCTCCTCCTCATCCTCCTCGTCCTCCTCCTTCTCCTCGTCCCACCTCCCTCCTTTCCCCCCTGCTCCTCCTCTGGCTCCGCCTCCATCCTGTTCCTCTTGGGGTATGAAGGCTTCCCAAAACCCGTTAACTGCATGTTCCTGGGCATCCCTGATCCGGGCAACTCGTCTGGGCATCGTTTCTGGATGAGCTAGTGGGGTTACGCGGAGCCGGGGGCCCCCGGTCTGCGGCGGCCCTGGCTGCGTGCGGCCTGCAGGAGGCTCGGGAGGGGGGGGGGGCGCGGCCCGGCGGGCCGCTGCCACACGGAGCCCGAAGTGCCACATTAAGGCAACCACCTGGGAATCCCCGATCGCAGCAGCAAACCAGTCCTGGGCCTTCAACGCCGAGACTCAACGTGACCGATGAGTTCTGAACATACTAAACCTGAGCAGAACACCAGTACTAGGACTTCAACCACACGAGTTCTTGAAACTGCTGCAAACGTTACAGACACATGTGCGTGGCGCTGGGCGCGAGCCACAGTTAAAAAAAGGAACTGTCATCCATCCTTGAAACCGATGTCAGGGAAACAAAAGGTGCGCGGCACTAAAGCGAAAGCCACATTTTGAAAACCAGCCGCCCTCCATCCTTGAAACGATTACGAACGTTTGCGAGCGAACGTTTTCCAAATAGGCTGGCCTCTGGGGAACTGGCCCACAAGTCCCACGCTCTGTATGTTGCCCTCACAATTGTCAAACTACCCGCATGGCTCCCTCACATCCGCATGGCGTCCTATGCTGGTTTCCTCCTATCCACATGATGTCATCCTGTCCGCATGGCTTCATCCCATCCGCAGGGCGTCCTCTTATAAGCACGGCTTCCTCATATCCGCATGGCGTCTACCGATCTGCGTAGCTGTTCCAGTGGCGCCCCGACGATCACCCTACAAGCGTGAAACCTAAAAGTAGTCGAGATTGGTAGCGTTGAGCAAGCTAAGAGTAGAGTAGAGAAGGGTAGATGAGTAGAGTGAAGCAGGGTAGAGTAGCGTGGGGCAGCGCGGCTAGAGATATCGTAGAGTAGAGCAAAGCAAAGTAGAGTAGAGCATGGTAGAGCACGTTCGAGTAGACTAGACAAGAGCCGAGTAGGGTAGGGTAGGGTAGGGTAGGGTAGGGTAGGGCAAGGTAGACTGGGGCAGAGTAGAATATGGTAGATGATAGAGTAGAGTCGGGTATGCTAGAGCAGATCAGGGTAGGAGTAGAGTAGAATAGCGCAGAATAGAGCAGGAGTGCGGTAGAGTAGGGTAGGGTAGAGAGGGGCAGAGCAGGAGAAGGTACATGGTGAGAAGAGACGGGTATCATCTAGCAGACTATAGCATGAATAAGCGTAGGGCAGAGTATAGCATAACAGTGTAACACATGCATGAGCAGCGTAGGCGTAGAGTCGGGTAGGGTAGAGTAGAATAGAGCAGAGCAGAGTAGAACAGGGGTAGGTTAGAGTAGAGTAGACGTGAAAATACTACACGTACGGTAGTGTACGGTGGGGTAGAGTACGGCAGCATAGAGCAAAGATAGCTGAGTTGAGTAGGGTGGATGATGTGATTGAGTCGGGTAGAATGGAGTAGCGCAAAACGGAGTAGAACGGAGTAGAGTAGGGCAGAGTAAACGAGAGTAGAGTAGTGCGAGTAGAGTAGAACAGAGAACGGTAGAGTGAAGGAGGGGACAGGAGAGGAGAGTATAATAGAGTGGGTTAGAGTAGGAGGCGGCTAGCGTAAGAGGGAGAAGAGTAGACGAGAGTAGAGTAGAGTGAGGTAGAGTGGAGTCGAGTGGAATAGAGTAAAGTAAACTAGAGTAGAGTAGGGTACGGCAGTGTAAAACATGTCGGTCGTCTGATCTATGTGGGGTCGGCGATGGCTGGTATGCACGGCGCTAAGGCGAGAGCCACATGTTGAAATCGACTCGCCATCCATTCTTACAACAGTTTCAAGTTTCAAGGCTCGGGATTACAAATGGTGAAGAAATCGCAGGCGAAATGTCAGACTCACCCTACGGACACGCATGGGTGCGACAGGGACTAGGTACTATCCGAACAGACTTGCTTGCCAGAGCCCTAGCTCCATCCTAAATAACTGGTCGGCCATAGAACCACCCCGTCCCATCGATGTTGCCCTTGCACGGTGAAACTATCCGCATGACTTCCTCTGTATCCGCATGGCTCCCTCTGCTATTTCGATTGCGTCCAGCGGCTATTATAATGGGGTCCCCACGAACACCCAACCTCGTCAATATGTCCGCATGGCCTCCTCTATATATCCACATGACGTCCACTATTATCCGCATGACTTCCTTCTGTATCTGCACGACTGCCACTGCTATCCGATCCCTCTGCTGTTCAAATGACTGCCTCTGGCGACTGCAATGGAGCCCAAACGATGGTTCAGCTTCGTCAAAGCTATTCGCATGATTTCCTCTGTATCCGCATGGTTTCCTCTGATATCCGCCTGGTTTCCTCTGCATCCACATGGCGTCCTCTGCTAGTACACTGACTTCCTGTGGTCATTACAATGGAATCCCAACATTCGTCCAGCCGCGTCAAAACTGTCCGCATGGTTTCCTATGTATCTGCATGGCTTCCTCGGCTATACGCATGACTTCCTCTGTATCCGCATGGCTTCCTCTGCTATTACACTGACTTATTGTGGCTATTACAATGGCGTCCCAGCAATCGTCCAACATTCGTCAAAACTGTCCGCGTAGCTTCCTCTGTATCCACATGGCGTACGCTCCTATCCGTACGGCGTCCTCTGTATCCACATGTGGCTATTCCAAGGGAGTCCCAATACCCGTCCAACAGCGTCAAAACTGTCCGCATGGTTTCCTCTGTGCCCGCATGGCTTATGCTGCTATCCGCCTGGCTTCCTCTGTATCCGCATGGCTCCATCTGTTATTGCAAAGATTGAACTCGGAAGTAGAGTAGAGTCGATTTGAGTAGAGCAGAGTAGAGAAATGTAAACGAATGTGGCAAAGCATAATGGTAAAAGGTGGAATGGAGTAGAGCATTGCAGAACAGAGCAGAAGTTGTGTGAGTATAGTGATGATGTCAGAGTAGAGTAGACTAGAGTACAGTAGGATAGGTAGGTAACGTTGGGTAGTAGGGTAGAGTAGAGCAGACATTACAGCAGGGTGGATGGTAGATTAGAACCGCGTCGATAGAGTAGGGTAGCGCGCAGTATAACCGAGTAGAGTGGTGTGGAGTAGGAGAGGGTAGGTTAGAGTCGAGGAGCGTACAAGTAGAATAGAGCAACGTAACGTAAGAATCAAGTGCAGTCGATTATAGTAGAATAGAATATACAACTATAGTGAAGGAAAGTTGGGTCTAGGGTACAGTAGAGTAGACTAGACTAGCGTAGCGGGGAGTAAACTGAACTAGAAGTAGAGTAGTATAGAGTAGAGTTGGATTGACCTTACTAGGGTACGCTAGAGACGCGTAACGTAGAGCAGAGCAGAGCAACGTAGGATTGGGTAGGGTTGGGTTGGATAGAGGAGAGTAGGGTATAGAAAACATAGTAGGGTAGAGTAGGGTCGATGGTAGAGTAGAGTCGGGTGGAATAGAGCAGAATGTAGTAGAGTAAAGCGGAGTGTCGGTCCAGTCTGCTCCAGACCAGCCTACCTGCGCTGGCTGAAAAGTATGAAAAATGATCGGGGGCGAGGACGAGGAGGAACGGGAGGGAGGGGGGGAGGGGAGGGAGGTAGGGCAGGGGCCGAGGCAGCGAGGAACGGATTGGGAAAGAGAGGAGGGGTAATGAAGGGAAGGGGGAGAGAAGGGCAAGCAAGGGCGGAGAGGGGAGCGGGCGAGTGAGGGGGACGGGGACGGGGAGGGGAACAGGGACGGGGACGGGGACAGAGAG